TTTAGGGTTTGGGGTTTAGGGTAATGCACCCGGCCTGTCTCACAGCTGCTGATACTTGTGCTGAGGCTGATCTGGCCAGGGATGACTCGAACAGCACGCATCCTCGTCAGCCTGTACCCAGATCTTCCAAGCATCCCTTAACTAGGGAATTTGCCTTAAATTATAGTAGGATCCCTAAACATAAGTTAAAGTCCATTCCTTATCTCCGGGGTATCGGAAGATCTGGGTATGCTAACGGAAGAGAGCCGCCCAGGGTTTACGGCTCAGGGTTTCTAGTGGGCTTACAAGTCTTATAGGGACTGTTCGATTCAGCGAAGTTTAGGGTTTTAGACTGAGAACACGAGAAGAAGTGGCAATGTTTACTTGCCGAAATAGAGGTCAGAAAGTTAACGCAGGAGCCTTAACAACTAGAATAGGGTTTCGGTGAAATGATAGCATAACATACAAGAGGGAACTCTAAGAAAAAAATGCTGGTCATCATTTAGGCTTCTAAAGTAGACACCAAGCAGCAGCTGCAATGCAAGCGTCCACTGTCCACTTCGCTCGCAGGCACGCAGGCCAGCATTGAAACTTATCTCATCTGGTAGAAGGTCAGCTGTAGGCATATCAGACAGCAGGTACAGTGCCAGCGGCCATTGCCGTTGCTCTCCACATGCACTGATACAGGCATTGAGGCTGATCTCATTTGGTAGGACACCGAAAGTATGCATGCAAGAGAGCACATACAATGCCATCTCCCACTGCCCGCCTTTCTCGCATGCACTGATTGCAGCATTGAAGCTAATGACATTGGGTGATACAGTGGTAGAAATCATGGCAGTTACCAGATGTAAGGCCATCTGCCATCGTGCACGTTTCTCACATGCACTGACAGCTGCATTATAGCTGAACTGGTCCGGCAGGACTCGTATTTCAGGCATGATTGCCAACAGGAAAAGAGCGTTCTGCCATCTGCCAGCTTTTTCACATGAACTGATACTGGCACTCCAACCTATGGCCTGGGGCACTAGTGTCGTTGTCCGCATCTGGGAAAGCAAGTCCAAAGCCCTTTGCCATCGTCCACACTTCTCCATGGCACTGATGCCGGCACTGAAGCTGATCTCATCCGCGGCAAGGTGGCCATTGCACAGTTGAGAAAGCCTATACTGGACTTTGGTACCTTGCACAAATTGTAGCTTTCGCTGTATCTTAGGGGTTATAATTCAGTAACCCAAATCTAAACCTTGTTTCCAAGTACCCCCGAGAATCAGATGGATTGCCATCTCCCATTGCCCACCCTTCTCACATGCGCTGATGCAGGCGTTCCAACTGATTCTGTCGGGAACCAGTCTGACCGTAGACATCTCCGACAGAAGGTGAATTGCAATCAGCCACTGTGCAGCACGTCCACATGCACTTATGCCTGCATTGTAGCTGAACCTGGGATACAGCGCGCCAAAAAGGGAAATGGCAGACTATTCACATGATATTCGCAATGAGGTCAAGCTACAGTTACAAGATGTTAAAAGAAAGGATTGCAGTTCAGAGCTATGGTTACGAGTTCACTACCCCAGAGCGAAATCCTAAAGCCATAAAACCAAAGTCAACACCCCAAACACTCAACGCTAAACCACAAACCACGATGAATCTCACGAAGAAAATTGGAAAATCAGTTCAGACTGAAAAAGTTGCCAAGGCTGGAAAAGCAAGTGGACATCAGATTCGTTCAGGTCTTTAGACTTTAGAAGTAGAGTTGGAGTTTGGAGATTAGAGTTGGGGTCCAGCATTTAGTGTTAGGGTTAGGGCATAGGGCTTGCTTTTTGTTTTAAGTTCGGAAGGGTGTTTTGAGGTTTACGGTCTAGGAAATGTCAAACATATACCTGCGCTGAGTAGACTGGCATAAGCATAAGAAACAGCTTCCTACGCAGAATCTCCAGCACAGCCGACCCTAAAACACCAAAACCCTGAACGCTTAAAGCCCAAAACTGCGGTTGAGGGTTCAGTCCCCTACTTAAAGGTTCATGGGACTTGTAACTAGGGCTATAGATAAGGTAACTATACCTCTAATTCGCCTCGGCCCCCGGCCGAAGCGGTCAGAGGTTCCTATTCGGATTCCCTCTATTCCCCACCTCTTGGTCCCCTCCCCAGTGACCCTCACCCTCCACACCGCCGCCTCCCCCCGCCCCCTGCCGCCTCGACAAAAAGCCCCTTGCCTCTGCGTACAACCTCCTCCCCTTCCCAGGTCCTCGTCCGCTCCGCCAACGGCGCCTTCAAGGCACCAGCAGTTCGTTGGCCCTCTTTGTTTGCGGCCGGGCCGAGGCGGACCACACGAAGCGTTTAAATTACTTATACCCCCAGTCTAAGGTACGTATAACTGTACTTATTAAGTCCCATGAACCTTCCAAGTAGAGCCTAAACCCTCAACCCTAAACCCTCGGCCCTAGCCCTTATAAACCCTAAGACAAACGGGGAGCTCGTTGGGTGAACAACTGGCATCGCACATGGCTGCCAGCAGAGACAACGCCAGCTCCCAAGCTCTTCCTTCCTTCCAGGGAGGTCGTGCTTGGGCCTTTAACGTAATTGTACCATAAGGGTTCCGCTTAGGGTGTTTAGGGTCTAGGGTTTAGAGCTTAGGGGGTTCAGGTTCAGGGCTTGCGGCTGAGGGTTTATGGAATGGGGGCTTGCATAAATGGTATAGAGGATCCCTCAAAGGTTCCTTTACGGGTTCCGTAAAGGTTTCGGAGAGGTTCTATTTGTTCTAATGACCTTCAAGGAGGTTTCCCAATTGCGGGTTCTTGTAGGGGTTCTACATGGGTGCTCTTGGATGTCTCGGGCTCAGGGCTTTTTGGGGTAGGATTCAAAGTTTACGGTTTAAGGTCTTAGGGTCTAAGGCCGCAGGGTGAAGGTTGCGTAGGGTTTAGGGTTTAAGGTTGGGGTTTCGGTTTCACCCAGGAACTCTCAAACAGGTTTAGAGTCAGCGGTTTTACAGTTGGGTAGATGAATTGCAGGATCAGGGCTTTGTCGATCCAACCATTAATCAACGGCTTAGTGCAGATTAGGGTCAACCCTAAACCCTCAACCCTAAACCCTGACCCAAACTCTCGTTCAGGATTCAGGTTTTTATAGTCTTGAAGACATGGCTCACATAAGCAGCCGGGTTTAGGGTTTAGGGTTTAGGGTTCTACAATCTCGTCATCCAAAAGGACACTGTTACACCGTAGCAGCGGGGATTCTTGACCCCAAAGCCTAAACCCTCAGCCTCAGACCCTAAAACCTTTCAGTTTAGGTTCCTTTAGGGTTGAGGGTTTAGGGTTCGAGGTGTAGGGAATCAGGCAAACCCTCAAAATCTCTAATATAGCCGCAACATCTGCACAAGGCCACATTAAAAAAAGAAATCCACGGCTCTTTTTGCACAGCCCCGGGCCTCACATGCACTGATCCCGGCACTAAAACTGATCCGGTCGGGCACAATGCTGGCGATTGGCATTTGCGCCAGAAGATGCACTGCTCTCTCCCACTGCGCTCCGTTCCTTAGTCACCCGCCTCATTGGGGTTCGGAGTTTTGTTTAGGGTTTTAAACGAACACAAAAAGTTCAAAGACTGCTTTCGCCGACACGAAGGTTCCCACAGGCAGTTATACAGGAATTGAATGAGAAGTCGTCAGGTGCTAGTCTTGATATCCGCATTTCAGACAGAAGACAAAGGGCGGTCTGCCATTGTCCACATCTTCCGCAGGCACTGATGCCAGCATTGAAGCTTATTTGGTCAGGTGCAAGCGCGATTGCCGGTATTTCTGACAGCAGTTGCACAGCCAGCTGCCACTGTGAACCTGCAGTGCAAGCACTGATTCCTGTATTCAGGCTGACCTCATCACAGGCCACTCTGACAGCGGGCATCCTCGACAGAAGCCACAAAGCCATCTGCCATTGCCCCGACTTTTCACAGGCACTGACACTGGCATTGAAGCTGACAGCATCTGGGCTCACTCTGGCCCAAGGCATCTTGGAGAGAAGGTGCAAGGCCTGCTGCCACTTTCGACCCCGGCCGCAGGCGGTGATGACCTAAGTATCCCAAACCCTAAACCCTAAAC